ACGAAAAGAAAGGGGAAACCGATTTTTAAAAAAAAACGAAAGACAAAATCAAGCCCCCCAAAAAACAACCAATAAACAAATCTGCAACTAATTTAATTTAAAAAACACAACATAAATAAATTTTTTAAAATATGAATGAATAAATGGGCAAATGAGCAAAAATCCCCCAGCAAACAAACAATCGATTACAAGAATAAAAAAGAAAAAAAAATACACACCCCAAAACTAAGGAAAAAAGCAAAACAATAAAAAACCCAACTAGTCCTGTCCGAAACAAAATTGCTGTAGCCTTACAGAGATAGTGCACCCTGGCCGTCGGTGTATAAGAAGGTGCCAGAACAGAATGATAGTGAACAACTTAACCCGAATCTACATAGCTTACCGTGTCGTTCGTTGGCAGGTTTATCCAGGGCTACTACAGAGTTGAGTAGATGTTTGCTTATAAATTATACACATCGACTGTTTTTAGTAAACGTTTAACAGTAATTGCAATGCTATGAGGCCATCGTATAAGTGCGAGAGATTAATAAGCACAATAAGGATAGGGGAGAGGTAATGGAAAGAAGGAGCGAACCACACCAAAGCACCCACCAACCACCCAGACATTATTGGTGTTACACTCTCCATGTAATTGTTTTCTGGAAAGTTTTCCCTCATACCAATGAAAAAAATCTTTCTGATTAAGATTTGAATGATATGGGAAAACCCAGAACATAGAACACAGAGTTCTTTTACACAATTTATAGTGCATTGTGGGACTTCTGCTTTTGACAGAGGACTCACAGTTAGACCTCGGCAATGGTTTATAAGCCCCCAAAAAATAGTTAACCTATTTCTTCCAGTTACATGGTTAAAGCATGACACCATCGATATAGTAACTTCACCTCTCTTGGGTAATTTTACTTGACATAAGATGGTTCATTTTCATGATTCTGAAAACCGTTCTCCCTTCTCCTCTTTGCTCAACCCACCCAAACCAGCCTGTGCTGGGTTTGTTTTTTTATACATTTATAAAGCCTGTGGTTGGAGGGCACCAATAACAGGTTCTACGTCTATACTGTCCCTCTCTTGGTTTCACCTGTCTATCTACTTTACTCTTTCCCTGCTCTTGCATGTGGTTGGAGAGCACTACTGGTAGGTCCTACTTCTTTTCTTTTCTTCTATTAATTCTGTCTGTCTGTCTGTCTGTCTGTCTTATTTTTTCCCTGCACTAAATGACCACAATTGTGTTGATGTGCTTCTCCTTACTCGAAAAAATAAAAATTCTCTGCATTTGAAGGCAGATATTGTCTCTATGTGCTTGTATTTACTCAGACACTCTTGTTTTGTCCTCCTCAGAATGAAAAAGAAGTATTACTCCTGGGACGAGTGTCTCAACCTCAGGGAGGTCAAGGTGAGGTCACTTAAAGCAATCTATATATATGTCACAACGACATATATCTCTTCATTCTTACTTTTTTAGCTGAGATTTATCTTAAATGGCACATACATATGATAGTAAATTGAAATTCACATGGGTGTGCAAATCAAATAGATATCTCTCTTTCACACTTTATCTCACCCTCTGTTGTATCTCTCTTTCATACTTTCTCTCACTCTCTGTTGTTCCCTGTTGCACAATCTCTCTTGCTCTATCTCTCTCTCTCTCTCTCTTTCTCTGTCTCTCTCTCTCTCTGTCTCTCTCTCTCTCTCTTTCTCTCTCTCTCTCCTTCTTCCTCTCCGTCTCCCTCTCTCTTTGTCTTTCTCTCCTCTTTATCAGCTTTGAGTTTTTGTTAAGTTCCTTGTTTTTAAGTTTTCAAACATTTATATTTTTCTCTCTCTTTCTCCTACCAGCTTTCATTCTCTAGTACACACTCATGAAATATTGAGCTCGGTGTTACGGATTCCTTCCCTGCTTTTCAAAAAATCAATTTTAAAAAATTATGATCTTATCATGCTTCCTCTCACTCTGTTTTTTCCCATCATGCAGTCTCTGCGGAAGCTGAACCACCCGAACATTGTGAAGCTGAAGGAGGTGGTGAGGGAGAATGACATGTTGTACTTTGTGTTTGAGTTTATGAAGGAGAACCTCTACCAGATGATGAAGGACAGGTGAGTGAGGATGTGTGTGTGTGTGTTTGTGTGTGTGTGTGTGTGTGAGAGAAAGAGAGAGAGAGTGAGAGACAGACAGACAGACAGACAGACAGACAGACAGACAGACAGACAGACAGACAGACTGAGAGAGAAAAGAGAGAGAGAGAGAGTATTGGAAGGAGGAGAATAATGTTACAATCTAGTGTTGAAGAATATCTGTTTGTGTTCAAGCGTGTAGGAGGGTGTGTATTATGAGTTTTGTAAGTTTAGGGATATGTTTGTGTGTGTGTATTCATGAGCATGCATGTGTGAATGTGTGTTTGCATGGGTTTCTGTTAGAGTTAGAGACTTTTTTTTTTATAAGTGTGTGTGTGTGTGTGTGAATGGTAATAAGGGGTTGCAGACAGAAAACTCGTGAGAAAGGATATGTGAATTTGACATCATGTGTATTCGAGTTAAAAAGGCACTTGTAACCCCTCCTCCAACCTCCCTTTCTGCTTTTTTTCTTATTAACGATGCTGTTGTTTGTGTGACCCTAGGGACAAGCTTCTACCAGAGTCTGTGGTGAGGAACATCACGTACCAGGTGCTGCAGGGACTCTCCTTCATGCACAAACACGGTGAGACTATACAACAATTTGCCTAGCGCTGGTGGTCATTATCTCGGATCTGTGCTATATAAGACGACTTTTGTAGATGATGTGGTTACTCTTTCTGATCTGTGCTATATGAGACGACTTTTCTAAGCTCTGTAGTCATCTTCTCTTGTCTGTACTACGAGTATATTAGATGACTTTTCTACGCTGTGCGGTCAATATCTATTATCTGTGCCCTATAGGAAGACTAATCAAGTGTTGTCCAGCCACTCTCTCCAATCTGTAGTACGATTACTTTCTGGTGGATGGTTGGAGGGTATCGCTAATATGTCTCATTTCTCTACTTGCCTTCTGTTGTTTCTGCCTGTCAGTCTTGCTTTTCCCACCACTGAAGGGCAGTTATTGTGTTAATGTACTTCTCTTTTTTCAGAGACTTGGTGATTTTTTCCAGTACTTTTCATTCAGTAAACCAACTCTCAAACCCACATAGAGCGTATGTTCGTCACTGCTCGTACTTAGTAGTTTCCGTGGACAGTTGATGTCTGAGGATATTTTTTGCTGTTATAAAGTTTATCTATTTTGTTGTAGCTTTGTTCATTACTCGCTGAATATGTGTGGATGCTCGGCTGTCAGAAGGACCGTACAGGTCAGAGACAGTTGACTGAGCATCACAGAATGTATGTATATACATGGTCAGTGATGGTAGACTGACAATCTCACATTTGTGGTCAGTGATAGTAGATTGTCCATCACAAATGTGGTGTCAGTAGTTGTTGATTTACACATGAATGGTTAGTAATAGCAAATGGTCTGTCTACTACACGACATATATATGGTCAGTGATAGTATATTCACCACCACACCTGTGTGTATGGTCAATGATATCAAATGGACCAGTACACAACAGTTGTGTGGTCACTGATTTGCTGATAGGTTTGCTGCTTTAAAGGCTAAGGAAAACATTGATACAGTCTCATAAACACATCAGAATACTTTGATATGATATGTATATTCTCATGGATGCATCAGAAAATATTGCTCCTACCATATGTCCACATATGCCTGATGTCTACTTTTCTGTTGTTCAGGTTTTTTCCATCGTGACCTGAAGCCAGAGAACCTTCTGTGTAATGGTACAGAGCAGGTGAAGATTGCTGATTTTGGTCTCGCAAGAGAAATTCGTTCTCGGCCTCCATACACCGACTACGTATCCACAAGATGGTGAGTCCCTCGTGTGATGTATTTTCTCTGAGGGGCTGATCATATTAATAACAGAGTCATGGAACTTGTATATAATGAAATGGGTGAGAGTGGTAAAAATAATGGGAGGGATGGGAGTGAAATAAATGACAGGTGAGAGAGGAGGGAGCTGGATAAGAGGTGGGGGTGAGGCGGATCAGCAATTTTGCCTAGTTTGGCTTTTTCATTTGTGTCTCAGGGATCCTCCATACCCTCAAGCCTCCTCCAATAATCTATCAGCTCCAGATAGACATATTACACACCAATGGAAAGGGAACCGGGTGGTCTTTCAGATAGATTAAATTTTTGTCAAGCTCTCTTGAGGTGTGACCTATTTTTCTTGTTACTGAAAAGAAAACCAAAAACAGAAATCACCCTTCCCAAACAATCACAAAAAAAGGGGGGAAAAGTGCTTGAGAATTTAGGATTTACATTCATTTAACGGAAAAGTACATTTAATTCTGCATATTATGTGCCAAAGATACACCATTCTGTCGGAAAATAAAGAAATGAAGGCCCCTACAATTCCCAGTTGTTGCCCTTGAAACTGGACATTTCAATCCTGACTTCTTGCTCTCAAGCCTCCTGCAATAATCTATCTATTCTAGGTAGACACATTATATACTAATGGAAAGGGAACTGGATAGTCTTTCAGACCTTGCCAATAGATTTCATATTTGTGAAGCTCTCTTGAGGTGTGACCTATTTTTCTTGACAGAAACCGGACTTTCCCAACCATCATAAAGAAGGAAAAAAAACACCTGACTGACACTAGGAACATTAAAAAAATCTATATCTGTAATTTCGTATTCTACTCCCCCCCTCCTCCCAATTGTCCCCTCCCTTCCCTCCTTCCCCTCCTTCCCCTCCTTCCAGGTACCGAGCCCCCGAGGTGCTGCTCCGCTCCACCAACTACAGCTCCCCCATAGACATCTGGGCAGTGGGCTGCATCATGTCAGAGCTGTACACCCTGCGGCCGCTCTTCCCCGGCAGCTCAGAGATTGACGAGATCTTCAAAGTCTGTTCCGTCATCGGCACCCCCAAGAAGGTGTGTGTTTGTGTGTGTGCGTGCGTGTGCATGTGTGTGTGTTTGTTGTGTTTTTGAGTGTATGTGTGTGTGTGTAAAGATTATTCGGAATGCTTATGTGCATGAAGGTGTCTTTGTTATTATTGCTTAAGGAGTGAATGAATGTGTTTGTCAGAGAGCGTAGAGAGAAAGAGACAGACACAGAGGCAAAGAGTGGGGTGTTTCTGGCATTCTGATGTGGTTTGCTCCTTCTTTGCTATCAAATTTCTATCATCCTTATCTTTCCTTTTTTTATTCGTATGTTAGTCTCAAGTAACATCCCTTATCCTCGGCACTTACACGACATATTTGTGTTGCAAGTGCTGTTAAACTCTTACTAAAACTAGGGAGGGAAGGAGGGAGTGAGAGAGAGAGAGAGAGAGAGAGAGAGAGAGAGAGAAGGTGGGGGGCAGGCAGGCAGACAGACTGACAGAGAAAGAAAGAGAGGGGAAGTGGTTGTGCTCTACCCATTCCATGTGGTTTTTAAGAAAACCAGATTTTCTGTTTTGTTGGTTGACCTGAAGTGTCATCGTATCACTTAACCTTCCCAACTCCCCTCCATCTGCTATCCCTCTCCCTTTTTCAGGAGGACTGGTCAGAGGGCTACCAGCTGGCTGCTGCCATGAACTTCCGCTTCCCGCAGTGTGTCCAGGTTCCCTTCAAGCAGGTCATCCCCAATGCCAGCAACGACGGGCTTCAGGTCCTACGGGACATGCTGCTCTGGAACCCACAGAAGAGACCCTCAGCTCCACAGGTGGGAACCATTAACCTTCTTGTTCTACGCTTTACTCTGTCTTCACCACCCTTTTCACCTTCGTCTTCATTTTCTCATCCTCCCCCTCCTCCTCTCCCTCTTTGGCATTGCTGCTCTATATCTCAGATGCATCTCTTCTTTTCTTCATTTGCATTTTATCTTTATTGAATTTGTTGAGGTGAATTTTTTTCTCTGTTGTTTGCAATTGCTTCATACTGCATTTTGCTTTTGCTTTGCCCATTTAGCCATTGTGGGAGTTGCAGTCATTCGTTAAGTTTACAGTTTTTCCCCCCTCTCCATTTGCATCTTTTTATTTGATATTATCAAAAAGCATTTTAACACTAATGCTGACTGAAATTTAAAAAGTGAAGATTAGATAACTGACAGTTGCGGATTACATACTTTTTAGACAACTGACAGTTGCAGATTACATACTTTTTAGACAATATAATCCTTCCTTTACGTTTCATGAGTAGTTGGAGGGTGTCATTGGTACGTTCGACTTCTTTTTTTTTCTCTCTGTTTTTTTCTATCTGTCTATCCTGCTATTTTTCTTCTCTAAATAACAGTTACTATGTCGATGAGCTTTTGTGTACTCAAACTCAAACTGAAACATGTCTCTCCCCACATTTCAGTGCCTCCGCTACAACTTTTTCCAAGTGGGCATCGACCTCCCGCGGCCTCCGCCCCCTGTGTCCAAGACACCTGTCAACCTCCCCTCCCAGCCTTCCCCATCCCAGAAGCCGAGCACCAAACCACCTAACACGTACCCGGAGCCCAAACCTGCAGATTATGGCGGGGGCTTCGGTGGACAGAGGGCAGCACAGGCAGAAGATACACTAGGTGTACTGCCGTCCATACCCAACTCCATGGCTAAACAGAACGACTCGGTCAGTATAGTTGTGTCTATTCTGGTGAGGGATAAGGGTGGGGGTAGAGAGAGGGAAAAACTTACATGGCCAGTGTAGTAGTTGGTCTGTCATTGATGGTAAGGGGTGAAAATGGGGGTTGAGGTAGGGGCAAACACTTTGCGTACTGCCCACCATACCCAGCATGACGTGCAAACTGAAGGCCAAATGACTTATGCTTGTGAGAGGGGAG